AAACAATAAATGAATTTAGTGTAAAAATTGATTTAAATATAATTCCATCAAAATTGAATAAACCATTTTCGTTGATTTAACCAAAAATCAGTTGAAAATGAATTTAATAAATAATTTTCTCTTATTTGTTGATCATCATTTTCATTTATTTTAAAACGATATCGAATTGAAAAAGAAAAATTTTTTAAATAAATTAATTTTTTAAAAAAATTTTCCCATTTAAATCCATCAATATAATCTTGATCACGTGTTAATGTTTCAATTGATAAATATTGAATAAAATAAAATGAATCAATTATTAATTTTTCTAATTGTTTAAATTGAATTGAATCTTCAAATGTTGTTTTTAAATGAAAATAATTAAGTTTATTTAATTTTAATGGTAATGAATATGATTTTAACGATTTAAATGGTCCATTATAAAGTATATGAATATATAATTTTTCAATTGAAGATGATATTAAATAAAGTAATTCAAATAAAGAAACATTATTTTTTAAAGTTATTTTTAAATTTTCAATTTGAATTAAATTATTTAATTCAATATTTGAAAAAGTAAAACCATGAAATGAAATAAGTTGTAAACTTTTTAAATTTGTATATTGATTTGATGAAAAAAATCTTTTTATTAAATCAATTTGAATATCAACTGGAACTGAATCAATTTTTATTTCTTTTATATTAAAAAGAAAATTTTCTGAAAATGAATTTAAAAAATGTATTGATTCTAAATTATTAAACATTTCGAATTTTATTGAAAAACGTTCAAAATTATCATTAAATATTAATGAACGAACATTCGAACTTATATTAGGTAATATTTCATTTTGAAAACGATTTATTAATTTTGATGGAATTATATTTAAATCAATTTTTACACTAAATTCATTTATTGTTTTAGATAAACGATTATTTAAACAACTAAAACCATTTAATATTTCAATTATATTTAAATAACGACAAATTAAAAGTAATAATTCATCAGGTAAATCTTCGAATTTACTTTTATTTTTACAATCCATACCAAATGAATATAAATAAGCAGTCGAATCTAAAAAAAAAAATATTCTTTTTTTTTTTATGAATAAAATTGTCACTTTTATTTTCAATAGAATTTATAGAGAAATATTTAATCATTTTTCTTCAATTGATTATTTTTAAGTAAAAGTTCATATTTTATATTTTTGTCGAGCTTATGATTGTTCTTTCTTTTTTTTTTTAATTCTTCAAACGAGGTATAGAAGAGAATTTGTCAGTAAATACATACCTAAATAAAGAACGAGTAGAAAGAATTTCTATTAAAAAGAAAAAGTTCTCATAAGGCTTTCTTTTTCTTCTTTTTATTGAAAGAGAACACAACATATTTCATCTTATGTTTTATTTTATTTTTCTTCTAAACAAAAAAGAAAAAGACGTATGATTATTGTTCAGTTTTAGCAAATAAATCAAGTTTAACAGTTAAATATTATATTTCAGAAAAGTTTTACACAATTCAAAGGAAATAAAATCGAAAGAACTTAATTAAGATAAATATTTATTAAAGTATTTCAAATTGTTCATCATATATATTTGTCTTTTTTTCATTACGATTAATTAGATCCCGTTTTTCATCGATTGATTCATAAACTGGTGAAAAAACATTGTCATCCTTATTTTTCATTTTTTCTTCTAATATCTATTAAACAAATGAAAAAAAAATAAAAAATAAAAATGATTTTGAAAAAAATAAATTTTTCTTACTGATGATGATTGTTGATTGATTGAATATATTTTATTTTCATTTTTATTCAAAACTTTTTTTTCATTATTTATATCATCAAGTGTTAAACGAATTACTTTTAATTTATTTGACGGAAGTAAAACATGAGATTCATAAGAAATATCTTTTTCACTTTTTTTATTTGATAAATTCGATGGTAAATTTAAGATAGTTGATGAATGAGATACTTCTAAATATATTTTATTATTCAATTTTAAATCAATTTAAATAATAATTTAACCTGAAATAATTGAATTTTGTTTCGTTTTATTTCTTGTATCAAAAACTAAACGATCAACTTGTATTATTGGTCCTTTGCTTTTTCTCAACATTATTCAATAAATGATACAATTGAAAAGAAAAAAAAAATTATTACAATCACTAGAACATCTGTTACTTCTATTATCAAAAATCATAAAAAACTATGAAAGAGAAGTAAACAGGAACAAAAAAAGGAATCTGCCCCGGGTGAGGATCGAACTCACGGCCTTCAGATTATGAGACTGACGCTCTACCGACTGAGCCACCGCGGCGAGAATAACACAACTTAAATTAATATTTATTCATGATAAAAACCTATTGATTTATTACAATTTTGATTTACGATGTTGTCTTTATGCAGCATTTTTGACAATATATCATTTTCACAATCATTTCAAAATTTGTTTTTTGTCGAAATTCTTTAATTTTTAACAAATAAAAAGTAAATAAGAAATGCCTTAAAAATTTAAAAATAATGGAAAATTTCATAATTATATGAAATAGTTGAAGAAAATTTAGACACATTTCATAACACTTAAGAAAATGTTTTAAGAAACAGAATTAAGTTTAAATTATGATCAATTATAATTATTCATTATTAAAAAAACTTCCGTCGAACCTCAAGACTGTTTGTTTTGTTACATTCTTCTTATTGATATAGTCACATATCTTTTTTACAGTGACTATTTTATTTAGATACTTAACATTAATTATTCTTCAACAAAAATAGGAAAATATAATTTCTTCTTAGTTTAACTTGCTAAGATAAAACCTCACTACAAAATATAATAGATAGACAACTACTTAATGGTTTGATTAAAGTAAGGTCAATTTTTGTTTAACAGCTTTTTTTTTGTTTCCTGTTAATGCAGAAATAGTTAAGTCTATATACAATCAAACATGTTAAGGAGAAATGAACAAAAAGAAAAATATGAACATATAATCCATCACGATTCATTTACTAAAATGATATAATACAGTAAAGAAGAAATAAAGCGAAACAAGATAACCATACATATCATCATCATTGTTTTATAAACCATATTTCATTTTTCACTACTGCTTATCATAATAGAAATTGATTAATGATTTCTCTTTGAAAAATTCATTCTTCCCCTAGAATAAAACCTATTTCAACAAAAATTTCTCCTTAGGATGACGATTGAATATAGTAGAAATATCCTTAAGTCTTGTTGACTTCTGCTTAAGAAAGTAGAAAATAGATGATGACTGATTTCTTCCTTGTGAATTACCTGAAGAAATTGATTCTATATTTTGAAAAAAAACCTATTTCTTATTGACATTTTGTGGGATGAAGTCTTTTTGATAGAAATTGGACTATTTTTCACATTTACAGGTATTTTTCAGCCATCCTGTTTAGATTTACGTCCTTCCTATATATCTGAATCTGTACGTTGTTTTCAATAGTGTTAAAGCATATATTAAGAATAGAATTTACTGTATAGACAGAGACAAGTATGAGTCGCGACTCTTCGGAACGGGGTAGAGGATACAGTGGAGAGTAAGCAAAGGTCAGGAGCAAAAAGATTTTTATGTAATTTTGATAAAAATTTTTAGACTAAACGATTTTTAACAACAAGTAAATATGCGTTTTGTAGCTCGTTTAATGTGCTTTCATATGAGATATTATTCAACTTTTTTGCACGTCATATGAATGAGGAAATTAGAATTCAAGGAAAGAAATGTTGTCGTGAGTGTGGATGTATCTGTGTGGTGGTGGGGATAGTGCTATGCACCCCTACACCATAACACAGATATACAAAGTTAGTTACACGGGTAAAGTTCCTTTTTAATTTTTGAGTAATTGAATTATAGTTTCAAGTATCATATGTATGATAGATTCGAACGTATATAAAAAGGACGTACATATTTGGAGGTACAGAAAAGAAAATGTCATAACTAAGGTTTTATTTTATTTGAAATTTAGCCGTATTTTGCATTTCTTTCAGATAAATCTCATTTTTTTAATCAAAGTTTCCAGAAGAAATGAAAAAGCAAATAATATGACACAACTTAAACGTCAGTTGACACACTAGTTCTATGTGTTTGTAGCAAACCATCACAGATGATTAAGTTATCGTTGATATAATCAATAAGAACTATACGACAATAGAGATGAGCTGATGAAGAAGCGTAGAGGTAGGTTTTCATCGAAGAATACAGAATTGGCGAAGGATAAAAGTCTTAACTAATTGTTTTAATTCTGTTTTTTCCTATGCAAATGAAGAGAACAAAGATGATTTTCGATCAGTTGTCTAAACTGATAGATCGACTTCTAATTCAGTTCTATCTGCAAAATAATTGTCTGTTTTCTTTGGAGCTTCACAATTGTTGATCGTATCACTTCAATTCGTCCGTGTCTTACTATCTCAAAATGACATATCTAATTTAATTGTAATATTCTTTAGAAACCATATTGAAAAATAATGCAAATACTAGTTTTGAAAACAGCCACATATTCTTTTACTTAAACTATCAGTCTTTCTAATAGACAAGATCAATTTAAAGGTCTTCCCATAAGAACATGACAGGATAGAATAAAAATAGCTGTCATGTGAAGGTCTCTAATCAAATGTTTGCATGAAGTATATCAAATTTTTAAGATCGACAATTCATTAAGTTCTTCAGCTTGATTTCTGTAGAGTCTGAATGACGAATATTATCAGAAAAAATAGATTTTATGGAAGACATAAAGGGAGTGATAGAATGCTATTCAAATGTTATCAAATTCCAATAGTCGAATATCATTGAAAATTCATTTGAATCAGATAGTTGGATCCATTAGTGATTCTGTCACTCCGATTCATTCGGCCGGGTCAGATGTATTCACTTGGGAATTCGACAAAGGTTTCCTCAACGTGACACGTTTGAACGCGTATCGCGTTAATCACGTTCTATATCTATGGAAATGAATTTTGTCACGAAGAAAACAATAGATTTATTCAGAACATACTGTCAAGTCAGACAAAATTGTCGAAGTAACACAAAAATGTGCTTCTCTTAACCATTGTCTTTCTAAGTGTACAGGAGCACTTAAGTGAACCAAAAATATGTTTATTAATAAACAAGAGAGCAAATGCGTTTTTTTTTGTGTAATCATTCATTTCCAATAGCTTTTTTCATGGATTGTCTAACGCAAAACTGACACTCCGCTAAGTGAATAGAAACAATATATTGTCCATATTCAACTTAGATATTAATATGTAAAAAAAAAGCTCAAAAAAACTCAATATGCTGCAGAAATTATGAAAAAGTTGAATGTCAGGAAGATCTTCAAAACTGTCTTTTGCTTCATCGATTTAAGGATCTTCTATTATTCGAGGAGAGAGAATCTTCTAATGTGTCAAGAGCTTTACTCATTTTTCAACAATAGACTCATTTAGATGATACTATGGCACAATAGTTTTTGCAAAAGCATCTTCTTCGAGTTGTTGTAGTGCTAAATATGTTTCAGTTGGATCTATGATAATTTCATTAACTAATTGATTATCAGATGATGGTTGAGCATGAGCAACTATTGATCGATTGTTAGTGTTTGTTGATGATAAGAATGGTTTTGACATTTTATTATTTATAATTGTTGTTGTCAACGGAATTAATAAAGACAATGATGATTAAATTCTATGATATTATTGTATCTTTGCATTTATATTCAATAAATAATTGTATATCGAGAATAACTAATGTAGATCTATTGATCAATCAACTCTTATCATTATAATAGAATTGTTAAATTAATGAAGTAAAATTTGAATATACATATTTAAATCATTAAGAAGATTCACAACAACAGAAATTTCGAGAGATAAAAGTGAATTTTCAATGTTTTTCAATTCTTGCATATATTCTTACTATATGGAAGAAGGAATACTTCATAGAAAAAAGTATTTCTAAATTATTTTTCAACTTAGCATATTTTAGCTTATAATTTTCTCACGACTAGTTGCCAACGTATTTTGTGCCACTCACATATATTCTAAGTTTTAAGTTGAGACATTTCGGCTTCTTGCTTCCATTAAAGTCTTTAGTAACCAGAGTCAAAAGTCATTGATAATGAATCCTCCTCTAGTCACTAAAGACAACAGGTACCAAACTCTTTCATCCAGTTCTTTAGCATCAAAAAAAGGAACTAAACGACATTAACAAGATGACTTAAAGTATTGTAACACATTCGAAAACCTTTCTTGAAAATTTCAATGGCTCAAATACGTTTTTAAATGTTCCATATAGCGCAGCTTTACAATTTTGCATAGATAACTTATAAATAAAACAAGTTAAACTAATGTTTATTTCACAAAGTTAGATTATGTTTTGATGAGGTACTATTCTGTAAGGTAAAAAAAGATCTAATTAAACACTCAAATAAATAATGAAGAATTTTATTGTTCTCACTATATATATTTACTTAAATTAGAATTCGAAGTTATTTGAAATGAATTTAAAAAATATTTATTTAAAAATTTAATGTCATAAATTATATGAACCAGTAGGTGCTTCTTCAGATCCAAATTCCGATCGAAAATGTTTGGAATATTGTATAAGTGATGGTGGTCGAAATAATCCTGTAGAAGCACGTGCAACATAATCAATTCTATATCTGTTGTCAAGTTCTTTAATATCATCTGATTGATTAAAATCAAAAACTCTTTCTATTTGTCCATCAATAATCCATATATGACCGTATTCATCATTGATTAAATTACATACATGAAGAAAATCTTTATGATTTATTCCACGATCAGATTTAACTATTCCTTGAAGTACATATCTAAAGGAACAATTGAGTATAAAAACCTCTTTAAAATATTTATTAAAATTATTAATTTAAAACCTATGATTAAGAATAAGATTTTGACGTATAAGATCTGTAAAAGTTGTCGTTGGATGTCGTTTAAGATCGACATGTAAATATTCCATATTACTTATATATGAAATCCATTGTTTTTCCATATTACAAGTATTTACAAAATAATGTTTTAATTTATTAATATTTATTTGTTGATCAAATAAACTTTGTAAATTAAGATCTACAGCATTAGTACATGGAATACAATTTCGATAAAATATTGGTTCTCCGGAACTTGGATTTACAATCCATTTTCGAAAACTCGATGCACAATTCATTAATCTATTATGAATGTGCTGGGAAATATAATGAAATAATTCTTTTGTATCTTCAACTTTATTACTTTGATATAAATGAGTTAATTTCATTTTATCTGAAAGTGAATAATCTTGTACAATAATACCGACTGGAATATTACCAACAGCTACTTTATCTAATGAGAAATATTTCATTTCTTGATTTATATCTGGTAATGCACTCATTGATACTGTTAAATATTCAAAATTTTCATTATCAACTTTCTCAAATAATGAATTATCTAACGATGAAGGTACATAAGCATCATCTTTAGTTGCTTCTTTAAGTTCGAGTTCTAATAGACCACCTGTCAAGTCCAATAATTCTTGTTCATTTGTTTTATCTAGTTGATTATCTTTTAAATCTGTTACACGATGTTCAATATCGTTAATTGCTTCATTAAGTTCTTCTTCTAGATTATCATTTTTGGAATTTAATAAAGGAGGTTGACCATCTTTTGGTAATTTATTAGATTCTTGTGTTGATTGACCATCTTCCGAATTGTTCGATGGAAAATCAGTTATTTTACCTGTTTCGATTCTATTTAATAACAAAAATAAATAGAAAAAAATAAAAAAGCAATCTATCGACATGACTAACAAATTCAACTCAAATATATTTAAATATATTAAACAAAGCGCCCTTTGCTTTTTTTTCTAAGTTCGAATATGTACCGGATTTTGTTCTTCTTTCATCGATGCAATTTTTTCATAACAACTAATTCGTAAATGATTTTTTCTTTTGAAAAAAATTATTATTTATCAATATTGATACTCTTTTAAATAAATAAAAGTAAGATTCATTTATTCAAGCATAGTTGAATGTCTTGGCCGATTGATCCTCGATTTTAGCAAACTACTTTCAATGTATTGATTCAACCGATGCAATACAATTAGCATGATCCCACAGTATCTATAAAAGAAAAGAAACAATCAATTTCCAAAACTTGGATTGTTGATAAAACCAATTAAAACTAGACACATAGCGTAAAAACTATCGTAAATGATAATATAATTGTTCATGTTTCGCACCCTAAACGGAGTCAGTTCAGAGTCAAGTAAATTTTTTTGCCGAAAATTCAGTTTCAACATATGAACTTTTTTCAATAGTAAATTTTATTCTCTGATATTTACTGTAGAAACTTATGCATTTTCGAAGTTGCAATGACGTCTTATCGAGATTTGAGGACACGAAAGAAAGTTAGAGTCGAAAAAATCTGAGTTGAGTTTAACTCCGACTTTGTTTTTATGCTCGGATGGCTTAATAAGGTATTGATGAAATCTCGAAAATGCATTAGTTTGTACAGTAAATATAAGAGAATAAAACCTACTATTGAAAAAAGTTCACATGTTAAAACGGAATTTTTGGCAAAAAACTTAGTTGACTCGAAACCACATCCAAAATCGACTCCATCTAGAATTTTATCTATAATGAATAGTACGAAGTAAGATTTTGTATCTAAAGCGTATGATTCAAATGAGCATTAATTAGAACTGTAACAATCAAAAATAGAATTACAATAAGATATCGATAGATATCTTTGTCCAAGCTCAATGTTAATTTGGATGTTAAGTTTTTGATCAAACTCATATATTCTAACTGTCACTAAATCTATTTTTTTTCATATAAAATTAATTTGAGTCGAATTTAATTATCATGTTGAATTTTACTTCTTCTTGTCTTTTACAAATGCGTAAAAAAGAAGAATTCATATCATTTTAAAACAAATATGAAATTTATATTATTGGACAATAGTTTTTTTATGTGATTATTTTATAGAATTGACAAGATGAAGAACTTTATTTTTCTCAAATTATTTTATTATTAATATATTATATACGATCTTCAATGAAAAAAAGTATGAAAGTTATATTTTTATATATTAATCTTAATGATTTATAAATTTATTGATAAATATATAAGTAGAAGCCAAATGAAGAGATATTGGTAATAACGTGTAGCAGAAGAGTTGAAAGGTGTTGTAGTTTTCAATCCAAATGGAATACATTCATAATATCGTTGAATTTCAATAATATCGATTAAACTTAAATTATTTCGTTGACCGATAATGACATTAATATTTTTTATTGGAATTAAAGTTAAAGATCCATTAATTCCAAATGCTTCTTGTGGATAATGCATTATTGATCCATAATCATATGGTGTCTGTAGATCATTAACAACAGCTTGATTGTATTTTTCAAAATTCTTTATTCCATCTAATACAAATCAAATGAAAATATTTTTGAAACAAAAAAAAAACTCCATTGATATGCATGAAAATTACTTTTTTCGATATTTTCCCATTGAATTGAAACATACAAGTCCCGATCCGGTCTTGATTGTTCGTGATAAAATCCTTATTCAAAATAATCACAAATAAAATATATGATTTTTTATTATTAAAATAAAGATGAACATTATACCTAATATATGAAGTAATTCATGTTGAATCGTTCCAATTTTCATACAGCTAACATTTGAAGTGTGCATCAAGGTCATCTTATTCAGACCCAAATTACGTCCTACCTTACAAAATATCCTCTTTTCAACCATAGTCTCTAATAAAATCTTTGTACTTACGGTTGCTGAACATCCTGTGCCGTTATTTATAATAACACTAGATAGATTAAATTCAGTTTGTCGATGAAATTGAATACATGGTGTATCATTCACTCGCGTCATATCCACTATGCGTTTCATTGTATCAACAATAAGAACTGAATAAGGATACAATTCCATTCAACCATTTTAAATTTATTTTTGTTGCTACTCCTTTGTATTGCTACAAGAATAAGAAGAACTTTTTTCTTAAGTAGAATTAAGCCAAAATACTATTACATTCTTTTGAATGATCATATTACTTTCAAATCCACCACCCAAAAAAATGAAGTGTAGACTGTATAGTTCAAATGTATACACTAACCAATTTTCTCTGGTCGTTGTTTAGATAATGCGGAATCATCTGCAACAACCTAGATTAATATATGATATTTTATTTTAAAAAAAATTGAAAATTACTTCAATAAATGTATTTGAAGTTTCGAGTTAAATAATTATTTCTATAATAGCATGCATAAAAAATATTGAGTCGTCTTACAAAAGTTGCTATTGTACCTTTACTATAAACTCAGAAAGACTAAAACTGGAGCATTTTATCTGCTGCAACTAGACGAATATTATTCTAAATTTTCTTATCCTTAACTCTAATTATAAGAAAGACATGGAGGTTCGTATGATAAATATTATTGATTCCGTAATCTCAAAATGAGAAACAATGAAGATTTGCATGAAAATACAGAAAGCAAAACTGTAAGAAAAAAAAAGAGAAATGCTCTAAAAGTTCTTCTGGGAATAAATATGTTAGAACGTTAATTAGATGTCTACAGGATATTTCTATACATATGTTCAACTCTAATCGATCGTATTTAAACCTATGAACATTGTCCGTGATTTATTTTCGGCAAGTTTTTATAAACATTTCTTCATTTGGAAAGCTTTTCTTCATTAATTTTCTTTTTGAACTTTGACTCTTCTACTTTTTTCTTTTATTTGACCATATATGACGATGACTTACTCTGCTCAGATGTTCTTCTTCGATTTCAAGGATTTTTTGCCTATGGCTAAGGCATAGTCGCCGAGAAAAACACTGAAAGAATTTGGGTTCTTATGGCTTCTTCCAGAATTTATGAAGATATTTATTTTGCCCTTGCAGTGCACAATATCGAGTATTAAAAAATGCGGTTCTTTTTGGTAGTGCTTGATATCTATTATATTCATAGAAAATTTCCAGTCTTTTATATAATTTTTATGGCATTCAGAAAGTGCTTCACATCTTCCTTATTATCCAACTAATTTTGAAAAAAAATGTGATATTTATAATCAGCACACAGAGCTCTATCGAACTATATGAATTTCTAATCGAACGACAACAAAATTTTATTTTCGATCCTGCATACTAAGCAACATTGTCATGGACTTTTTGGAACCTTGCTAGTACTTTGTAACCAATATTTTTTTTTATGAAACAATGCGCCTTTTGACACTCTACAAAATTACATAAAATTTACCTTTAGGCACTTGAAAATTAACTGCCTAACAGAAGCGAGAATGGTAAAATGTAGCATGTAGAATAGATCAAAAAATAGTCGATTTCATCTACTATAATGATTTTTTTCAATTTCAGAGGCACATAATAATATATAGGAGATATAAGGTTTTGTAGAGCAGTTTCTACTCTATCGACGGGTATAATTTGATAATGGTTTTAATCATTTTTTTTATGATTAAAACGTTTATAAACAAAAATTATCTAAACATCATAGTTTTTGATAGATGGACATTTTGATGAAAAGTTTTAGGTCGCCGAAGTATTCGAATACTTTGCCCAAAAATTGTAAAAATTTGGGTTTCTGAGTAACTTTTTATGCTCTTTCAAACTAGCAGACCCATTTCAGAAAGTAAAATTTTTCGGCAACCGACCCCTACTATTTTGGGCGGTGGTTTCATGGGCTCCCTTAATTTGTCTCAAAAACTTGATTTAAAAAAAAAGCACGCTTTTTTGTGAGAATTATTATTGACCCTAAAATATACGACAGATTTGTTGTTTTGAACGATTTTTAACAGAAACGCAAGTAGAAAGGTAAGATTTTCATCATTTGTCAGAGGACAGATCGAGTTGTCACCTTTACTTTCACAGCCTCAACGTTTCAATTTTCATCAATTGATTATATGACATCGGCAACTAACGACAAGTGTTTCTAAGTCGAATCAGATTATTTTCTCATTGGCTTTGTATATAATGAAAGGAAGAAACGATTTAATATGTGGAGCACCTATTTAAACCTAATTCAACTCTAATATTCATATTCATCGTCAGTTAATGAAAATGTCGAACTCTAACGTAGTCACGGAATCAAGTGGAACATCTAATTCTTCTCCAAGTGAAACAATATCTGCTGCAGCAGCAGATAATGATCAACTTGATATACCACCAGCTAAGCGTCCACATAAAGAAGTATGATCATTTGAAATCAGAAAAAATTTGTATCCATTTTTAAATTTTAGGATTCACTAACTGATAAATTTTCATTTGAATATCAACATTTAGCATGGGGCGCTTTAAAACAATCTATTAATGATCTAGTTGAACAAGTGAATGCATCAAACTTACCAACAATTATTCGTCAAATACTTCAACATAATATTATTCGTGGTCGTGGTATACTTGCTAATTCCATTATTGAAGCACAATTTGCATCACCAAATAATACTAATCTTTATGCTGCCTTAGTCTCTGTTGTTAATACAAAATTTCCACAAATAAGTCTATTAATATGCAAACGTGTAATACATTCCTATCGTGAATATTTTGTGGCAGATGAACGAAAGAAAACATTCATTGCGATTAAATTTATTGCACATCTTGTTAATCAGAAAATAGTATGCACTTTTCTAATAAATACAACAACCTACTATTGTTTTTTTATTTAGTTACATGAAAAAATTGCATTTGAAATACTTGATGTTTTACTTCGCAATATTTCTAGTGATAGCGTTAAATTAGCTATTTACTTCTTACAAGAATGTGGTCAAAAGTTATTACAAGTTAATCCACACGAATTAGATTGTCAATTTTCAAAATTAAATGATTTACTTGATGGATTACTAATAACAGAACGTACCAAAAATATGATTGAAAATTTATTTGCTGAACGAAGAGATCAATTTAAATCACATCCAATTATTCAATCTGGTTTAAAATTAGTTGACGAAAATGATCAAAAAACACATATTTTAGAATATATCCACCTCTGTGAACCAGAAAGAATTCTCGGTAAAGTGAAAATTCAGTTTAATCAAATATTCTAATTCAATTTATTTATAGATGACTTTCAATATGACCCACACTACGAAGCGAATGAAGAAACATATATAAAATTAAGCAAAATCAAATTTAATGATACCGGTCATTCACAACATCCATTTAACTTATCACAACAGCAAAACCAACAGCTCGACAACTCAACAACAGATCTTAACCTGTCCAGTAGCGGTTCCTCAGTTGGTGAAAAAGAAAACTGATATTTCTTAAATAAATAAAAAAAACTAAACCTTTGAATCTCTTTGGAAATCATTATCAATACACACTACACACATATACCAGATCAAACTAAACAAAAAAACAAATATCACAGACATCAATACATTTTCTTTTTACTATATCCACAGACTGAATGAGTGATACAGTTAATTTCTACTTCGTCAGGAAAAAACATATTTCTTCTTTAACTTTGAGTTTAACAATTCGTATCGTCCAGTATTTATTTCAGCACTAAGAATAGACGGAAAAGCAATCATAACTAAACGATTTGGCAATGATTTCTGATCAATAAATAACCAACCGAGCTAATCTTACATTAAAGAAAAGAAGAACTTTCATTAAAATATACCGACTTTATTTCATTACCAGACGAAAAAACACAATACAATAAAAAAAAGTTTTACTAATTTCATTTCATTTTATTCCATTACTAGATGAAAAAACATTCTAAAATAAAAGAAAAAGATTTATTTTATTAATTTAAAATCATTTCATTCAATTACCAGATGAAAAAAAACATAATAAAGTAAGAAAAAAAGATTTATTTTATTAATTTAAATCAATACTATTTCAATACCAGATGAAAAAAGAACATTGTAAAATAGAAAAAAAAAGATTTTTTTTTATTAATTAAAATCCATCCTGTTTGATTACTATATGAAGAATGATGGTAAAATAATAGAAAAAAAATGTCATCGGTTTAATTCAATTTTATTTCATGTTGAGATGAAAAATCGTCCTAAAATAAATGAAAAACGTTTGTTGCATTAAATTAAACATATTCTCTGATAATTAGAACCCATTGAGTCCGAAAGAAATTTTGATGCATATAATATCTTTAGAGTTTCTTTAAATTTTTGTTCGTTTTGTACAAAAAAAAACTTTAATGTATTCATAAAATAGATAAAAAACAAAAAATCTCTTCTTGATTATAATATCCAAGCCTAATTTCCATTGGGTTCCAGTTCAAAACAATTTAACTAGACGGATCCGGATCCAACAAATTTTTAATAGCCAGGTTCGGATTCGGATCCAGAAATTCTTGAACCCAATGAGCTCTATTGGTAATAACACAAATTAAGAGAGAAATACTTATTTGGTAATGTATAATTATGAATGGGTACTTTCATCGGAGCTTTTATGTTTATTTATCTGCAGAAATTGATTTTAAAAAGCATGTTTTTTTTTCCAGAAATTATTATGGATTCTAAAATAGAGGGCAGATTCGTTGTTTTGAATAATTTTTTATAGAGAGGAGGATAGAAATTTATGATTTTTTCATTTGACGGAGGACTGGTCGAATTTCCACCGTCACTCTAGTAGCCTCAACGTTTCGGTTTTCATTCAATAGATTATGACATCGACAAGTAGCGACAACTGTTACCGAGCTAAATGAGATCATTTTCTCATTGGCTTTGCATATTACAATAGGGAAAAGCATTTATGACATGTTTAGCGTCTATTAAATAGTCTATTTAAACCTAATTCAACTCTAATATTCATATTCATCGTCAGTTAATGAAAATTTCGAAATCTAACGTAGTCACAGAATCAAGTGGAACATCTAATTCTCCTCCAAGTGAAATAATATCTGTTGCAGCAGCAGATAATGATCAACTTGATATGCCATCAGCTAAATGTCCACGTAAAGAAGTATGATCATTTGAAATCAGAAAAAAATTGTTTCCATTTTTATTTTTAGGATTCATTAACTCATAAATTATCATTTGAATATCAATGTTTAGCATGGAAAAGTTTAAGAAAATCTATTAATGTTCAAGTGAAAATAGTGGATCAATTAAATTTGCAACAAGTTGTTCGTTATTTATTTAGAGATAATCTTTTTCGTGGTCGTGGCATACTTGCTCGTGCTATTATTACAGCACAAATTAAATCACCAAATAATACCAGTGTTTATGCTGCATTAGTGTCTATTATTAATAGAAAATTTCCGCAAATTGGTGAATTAATTAGTAAACGTCTTTTATCCTCATTTCGTCAAACATATCAACTTAATGATAAAAGCAATTGTTTAGCATCAACAAAATTTATTGCATATCTTATTAATCAAAATATAGTATGTGTTTTTGTAATAAATACAACAACCTACTATTATCTTTTTTTTTTATTTAGTTACATGAAAAAATTGCATTTGAAATACTTGATGTTTTACTTCGCAATATTTCTAGTGATAGCGTTAAATTAGCTATTTACTTCTTACAAGAATGTGGTCA